ACATTCATAAGGTTTCTCTCCAGTGTGCGTTCTTTCATGCATTCGAAATGAACTGGAAAAACTGAAGGCTTTCCCACACTGTTTACATTCATAGGGTTTCTCTCCAGTGTGAATTCTTTCATGCATTCGAAAAGAGCTGGAACAACTGAAGGCTTTCCCACACTGTTTACACTCATAAGGCTTCTCTCCAGTGTGAGTCCTTTCATGGATTCTAACAGAACTGGAACAACTGAAGGCCTTACCACATTGTTTACATTCATGAGGTTTCTCACCAGTGTGAGTCCTTTCATGCATTCGAAAAGAGCTGGAACAACTGAAAGCTTTCCCACATTGCTTACATTCATAGGGCTTCTCTCCAGTGTGAGTTCTCTCATGAATCTGAAACGAACTGGGACAATCAAAGGCTTTGCCACATTCTTTACACTTATAAGGCCCATTTCCAGTATGCATAATCATGTGTCTTCTGTAGCTTGGAAGAGAAATGAATGCTTTCCCACATTCCTTGCAATCGTAAGGTTTCTCCCCAGTATGAATTCTTTCGTGCTTTCGAAAAGAACTGGGAAAACTGAAGGCTTTGCCACATTTTCTACATTTATAAGGTTTTTCACCAGTATGAATTCTTTCATGACTTCGAAAAGATGTGGGACAACTGAGAGCTTTACCACACTGCTTACACTGATAGGGTTTTTCTCCAGTGTGAGTCCTTTCATGTATTTGAAAAGTTTGGTAATATCTAAAGGCTTTTCCACATTGTTTACATTCATAGGGTTTCTCTCCAGAGTGAGTTCTTTCATGGTTTCGAAATGAACTCGGATGACTGAAGGTTTTCCCACATTCTTTACATTTATATGGTTTCTCTCCTGTGTGCATTCTCATGTGTCCTCGAAAGGTTGTGTGATAAATGAAGGCTTTGCCACACTCCTTACATTCATATGGTTTCTCTCCAGTGTGAGTTCTTTCATGGATCTGGAAAGAACTGGGCCAACTGAAAGCTTTCCCACATTCCTTACATTTATAGGGCTTCTCTCCAGTGTGAGTCCTTTCATGTATTCGAAATGAACTTCGAAAGCTGAATGTTTTCCCACATTCCTTACATTCATACAACTTCTCTCCATATTTGTGGCACTCATAAGGTTTGCATTCATTATGAGACTTCATATGCCTATTAAGAGATGAGTGACACATATAGACTTTTCCACACACACTACACTCATAGGGTTTTACTCCAGGAAGAGCTTTCTTGTTCCGTTTAAGATCTGGAACCTGGCTGATGGTTTCCCTAAATTGACCTTCTTTCTTTTCACAAAGTCTCTCTACCATATGACCTCTGTAAAATATGAGAAATGCATTATCAGTGGCTTTTTTATTGATGATTTTATAATTATTAATGATTATTAAATATTTCACAATTATTAATAGGTAACAGAATTATACTTTTACTACTTTAATGGAGCAAGTATGCAATGAATGCTCTGCAGGAGAATTTGACCACAGCTATTATCAAAACAGTGATAGTCATAACATGCAGCTTAATACTCTAAGTGAATTATTTTTCAAATTCTGAATACCCATGTCATTGAAAAAAAATCATGGTGAAATTTTTTCTAGAAATATATAAATATGAAATTGGATTTGTTCTGTTTACTTGCTTTTTAAAATTTCATGACATGACACATTAAGATTTTCTCATAGGACACTACTTTTTTTGTACATAAAAGTCACCTTAGATTTCTCCCCTGGTTTTTCTGCTTATCTTCACTGTTGTGGTCATTCCAATTTTCCCCTAAAATGCAAATCCAGAAAAGCCATTTTAGAATAATATGAAATTATGCAAAGATTATTAAAGTCTAGGTGTATGATGAGCTGATAGCCTGACAAGTATGCCTTTTCCATGCTATACATCTTAGAACCTTGATAATGACCAAAACATATTTGTTCTCTAATTGACTGAGTATGGAAATGGTTTTGCTTCTTACCTATAGAAGCCAAGTTAATGAAGGTTTCCTGCATCACATCTCTGTAGAGTGCCTTCTGGGAAAGATCCAGCAAAGCCCACTCCTCTTTGGTGAAGTTCACAGCCACATCCTCAAAGGCCACGGAGTCCTAAAACATTGCACATATACACATGTAAAATAAGATGAGCAAAACTGACAGCACTTGGGATATACACTCAATCCATTAAGAAATTCACATATGATTCTGTAGTCTCCAAATATTTATGCTGTAACTTGGTCATCAGAAATCTGTTTCTCTGTCCATACTCATTTGCTCACAGATATAATACCTGAACAGAAGGAAATTATTTCTATATTTTAATTATGATCACTTCAAGTTTTATTGTTCTCCAATGACAGGTGCACAGCATCTTGGAGAATTCTATACAACTGAAGCTACTTGGGGATGAGCAATTCCTTGTGAGAAAAACTTTCAGCTCTTGTCTCACCATATATCATATCACTAAGCATTCCATGAAACAGAAGCAAGTCTGTATGGTTTTAATCTATAAATATATACTAAAGAACTGTACACATTTCCTCTAATTACATGTGTGAGCCTGTGGATGTCCAACTTCCAGCAGGCCATGTTCTGCCAAAGTATTGCAGATCATTAGAAGTAGTCAGGGTCAACTGAGTCAATTTTTTTTTTTTGGTACCAGGGATCAAACTCGGGACCTTACACTTGCGAGGCAGGCAACAGCACCACTGAGCTAAATCTCTGGCCCAATCAAAATATTCTTTTAAAGAAGTATTCATTTTAATTTATGTATGTAATATGTATCACAGACTCAGTTGCCCTTTTTGTCTGTCCCACCTGAAGTTAGGGAGCTACAGAGAGGGTAGAAGACAAGCACAAGGAAGAAGGCACAAGAGCTCCACAGGATCTCTGTACTCACACAAGATTCAGGTCTACTTCCTTCCAATATGTAGCACACATACTACTTAATGGTGTACCCCAAACAACACTGACTCCGGAATGGGTCGTGAGTTACAGTTTTCAAGGAGGTTCACTAAAGTCTACAACTGTTTGATGGTGAATGAGATAGTCTGGACCATAAATGTCTCCCAAAGGTCCATATATTGAAGGGTTGGTGCCCAGTGTATGGCACTACTTGGAGGTAACAGAACCTATAGAAGGTGGTGTCCAGTAGAAGGAAGTTAGGTCTTTGGGGTCATTGAAAGGGATATTGGGACCTCAAAGCTTCCTGTTTCTCTCCTTGCTTTCCAGCCACAAAGGAGTGAGCAGACCTCCTCTGCCATGCATTCCCACCATGATGTACAGTGTCACTGTAGGACCAAAGCAACAAGGCCAAGCAACCATGGGCTGAAACTGAGCCAAAATGATCTTTTCCTCCATTAAGTTGATATCTCAGGTATATCAGGTATTTTGTCCTAGTGACAGAAAGCTAACTAAAATAGTGAATTTACCCATGACTACAAAATACCTAAGAAGTTCAGCAGTGCTGTCCTCGAAAAGAAATGAAATCCCCTTTCCCTAAATTCAGGAGGAAGTGACTGCCCAGCAGGTACTCTACAGGCTGATCTCCCACGTCTCTGGTTTCCAGCTCCCGCAAGGTAAACATTAGAGCCCAAGGGAGAATGGAAGTCCCTAAGCTGCATAATTCCCCTAAATACTGAGCTCTGAAACAGATCATTAACTTGCTGATACACAGAAGGCAGAGATCCCAGGGACCACTTCTGATATCAAAATTTATCTATTTGGTAAAATAACAGCAAAATATCCACATCTCTCTTGTTGGTGGAACTAGGGAGTAAAATGAGCTGCTTGATTCAGCCCTAATTTCTCTTTGTACCACTGATATGTGGTACACTAATTTGCTCAAAGAAAGTCTCACTACCTACTGCACAGACGAGAATTAACATTAGCAGGCCTGAGAGTGTTTATCTTTATTAATACCTGGTTGCAAAGTTCATCTGTCACTGCTATCTGCAAGTGATTATTTTCAGTGGGACCTCAAATGATAAGTATGGCAAAGGAGAAAAAAGGAACAACAGAGTGGGGTGGTACATCCCTATAATCTAAGCATTCTGGGAAGCTGAGGCAGGAGGATTGTAAGCTTGAGCCCAGCCTGGATAACACAGTGAGACCCTGTCTCAAAAGTAATTTTTTTAAAGAGCTAGGTATGTAGTTCAGTGAGAAGGTCCTGGGTTCAATACCTAGTACCACCACCAAAAAAAGTAACATCAGAACAAAACCTACAAAAGATATGAGGGCTGGATGTGTGGCTCAGTGGTAGAGAATTTACCTATCATGCACAAGGCCATGAGACTGATCCTCGATACTACAATCAAAAAGTTATAAGAGTGGCTCAGTGTCTCTAAACTCTTTTGTTTTGTTTTGTTTTTTACAATCAATATGTATATACAGAAATCCTCCTATTTTCCTTCTGAGAAACTGGGCCTTTTTACCTGCTAGGCAGAGAGTGCTGTTTGGTCAGTCTCCAGGAAGCACTCAGAGAACTGAGTGTCTAATGAGCTTCCCTGGTAGATGAGATGCATATGTTTTCACAAGTTATTGCTTGGGGAATTGAGCCCATTTTATGTGATCACATTAGGAAAAGACATCTGGAAGCTTGCACCTGCTTCCTTCCAGACCATAAACAACTATTAAATATGACTAAGAAAAGATATTTAAAACAATCCTAATGAAATAAAATTACTGGGGTCTAGGGATATAGCCTAGAGGTAAGGTGTTGGCTAGCATACTTAAGACCCAAGGTTCAATCCCTAGCACTGCAAAAAATAAATATATATAAACATATATAGATAGATAGATATATTAATATCAGAGTAGAATGAAATAAGTAGAAAGGTGCAACCTATCTTAGTTCACTTTCTTGTTGCTAGAACACAATACCTGATACCCACAACTTAAAGGAGAGGTTTCTTTTGGCTCAAATTTTCAGTCCACATTCAGCTCCAAGACAGAAACAGCACAGTGGAAGGGCCGAGGCAAAGACCAGCTACTCATCCCATGGCAGACAGGAAGCAGAAAGCAGGAAGGAGCCAAGATGGAAGGTAACCCCTTCTAGGTCAGACCCTCAGTGACTCACTTCTTCCAACCAGACACTATCTCCTAATAGCACATTCAATTCTAGACCCAGTACTACTTACTCTGCCATGACGAAGGGTGAGCTTCAGACATTTCCAGCTCAATGGATGGACCTTGAGATCATACTCAAGGGAAATAAATTGAACATACATGTTTAATACCACATTGTTTCTCTGGTGTGAGAAACTGAAAGTGGAAATAAGGACTGAAAGGTGTAATGGATGTTGGTAAATGGGAAGAAGGTGTCCAAATGGGAAGGGGAACAGGAAGGACGAAGGGAGAAAGGAAGAGACAAGAAAAAAAGTGAAAATAGAAGGAAAAAATGGAAACAAGGCTTTTGTACATAGGGAGGGGAGGGGCTTGAGGGGGAAAATGGGATAAAAAATAAAACAAAATAGAATATAGACTCAGGCAGTAGATTAATCCAGTGATGAGTACAGCACCCCATGATCCAATTGTCTTTCAAAAAATTAATCTCTGAACACATGAGCCTTTGGGAGGATATTCTAGATCTAAACCATAAGACTACCATTCTTCAAATAAACTCATTACCACAAGATGTCACTTTCACATATAATATCTCATAAAAATTCCATAAATCTCCAAAACAGTTTTTAGAAGTAATGAAGAGGTTGATGTGTAGCCATTGCGGTCCGTGCAAGAGAAAAAGATGCTAGAACCACAAGTGGATGGCTTGATTGACCTACCAGATTATGAACATATAGAAGATGAAACTTTCCCTCCGTTTCCACCTCCAGCTTCTCCGCAGAGAGATGGTGAAGGAGCTGAACCAGATGAAGAGTCAGGGAGCAGAGAACCTGTTCCTGTCCCTCCAAAGAGAACAGTTAAAAGGAACATCCCCAGGCTGGACGCTCAGAGATTAATTTCAGAGAGGGGCCTTCCAGCCTTAAGGCATGTGTTTGACAAGACAAAATTCAAAGGTAAAGGTCATGAGGCAGAGGAGTTGAAGATGCTCATCAGACACATGGAGCACTGGGCACATAGACTATTCCCCAAACTGCAATTTGAGGATTTTTATAGACAGAGTTGAGTACTTGGGAAATAAAAAGGAAGTTCAGACTTGTTTAAAATGAATTTGACTTGATCTCCCTATTTTACACGAAGATTTTGCTAGCAATAGTGATGAAGTAGGGGAAAATAATGGCCTTGAGGTAACAGCTACTGAATTTGACCCCTTCCCGACAAACTCAGCGGAGGGTGAGAAACTTGATCCTGAGCCTAGGAGCACCCTCATGGAGGAGCAGCAGCAGAGAACTGAGAGGAACAAACGGCTGGCCCTGGGAAGAAGGCAGGCAAAGCTGCTGAGCAGCAGTCAGGCCCCAGAAAACGACATGTCCATGGACACACATGGCGCACAGGCAGTTGAAGAGGTTCATGCTGGAGAGGAGCGGGAGGAAGTGAACAGACATTCTCCACACCCCATGCGGTAATACTCCTGCCAGTGCTGTAAGTGGAGAGGAAGTGAAATCAGAGCAAACACAACTGGACCAGTTGTACATTTTTAAAATGTACAACTCCAAGCTGGGTGTGGTGGTGTACATCTGTAACCCCAGCACTTGAGAGGCTGAGGCAGGAGGATTGCTGCAAGTTTGAGGCCAGCCTGAACTCCATGGCGAAACCCTGTCTCAAAACACCAAAAAGAAACAGTAAAATGTACAACTCCATGCTGCACAGTTACTGAGGTTAGCGAGGCCTCCACCAAGAAAATGTCTGATTAATTCAACATCCTGCACATTTGCCATTTGTATTTTGTTTATGTGAAAATTCTTAGGTAGTAAATATATGCAAAATTCTGCTTAAAAAAAAAAAGTAATGAAGAGCTACTTCTCTATACCTCATAGGAACAATGGGTAAAGTCTTCTGGAGGACAAAGTGACAGCTTATCTAACATACACCAAGGATTTTCAAACTATAATATTCTAAGCAGGATGACACCAACAGAAAGACAAATAGAGCAAGAGAATTTTTTAAAAGTCCTCCACGGTGTTAATGGCTTATATCTAGATGGCCCC